GCAGCTGTGTGGACTCCAGGCAGCTCCCTGAGCAAGGCTTAGTACCTGTGAGGACAGCAGGAGTCCCCAGTGGCAGAGACTTAGGTGGTCATGGTGGTAATGTGGGCAGTTCCTCTTGCCTACCTTTTCCCTGCAAGGAGAAGTCCTTTCTGATTCCAGACTGATCCTGAGTTGAGGGGTGGGGTGCCAGAGGTGAGGTATTTCCTTCCTCTAAGAGGCCATCCTGGTTTTCTGCAGTCTACAGGGTTTCTGCTACTCATTTGATATATTCCAGCATTCTTCAGTTATTTCCATCAAAATGTAGTTCTTCTTTTGTGGATTTGGCTATCCTTTGGGTGGGGGGTGGGCACAAGCAGAAGGAGCTTCTAGTCAGTCATCTTGCTGATGCCATTTAACTTTAGCTTTTATCAGAGGATATCATGATGAGATTTCACAAACCATTTCTCTCCCTGTACTCCTTAGTACAGTACAGTCTCTCTTACCTGAGTTGGTGCTTAACAAATGCTTCTAGAATGAGGAGTTGCGTACAGTAATGAGCTAATTAATTGAGTGAACATGAGCGCCCTGACATCCCCTTTGGAAGGACAGACTGCTTCTGCAGGCAGTAGTAAGTGATTTGAGCCACCATCAATGACTGTGGCCTCGTGCTCCAGTGATTTCAAAAGCCAAGCATTTGTTTCTCTTTGCCTGTTTCTGTGGAATTGGCTTTTGCTCTTGCTCCATGAAACATCTGAACTAAAAGAGGGACAGCACAACTATTGAATACATTATTGAGTACTAAAGAAAGTAAGACACACCTTCATTCTCTGGATGATTCTGTATCTGGAACCACATCACAGTTGCCATTACTCTGGAGCAGGGGTCAGCAAACCTTTTCTATAAAGGACCAGATAGTAAAGATCTTTTACTTTGTGGGCTCTTGTTACAACCAATTTACCCTTATAATACCAAAGCAGCCTCAGACAATATGTAAACAACCAGGTGCATTGTGTTCCAATAAAACTTAATTTATAAAAATAAGCAGTGGGTCAGTTTGGCTCCTGTGGCCCTAGTTTGTTGGCCCCTGTTGTAGAGTGCTACATGACCTCTCATGTTCTTTTAAAATTATTATTAATTAAAAGGTGCTCATTTTGTGGAGATATGTCAGAGGAAGGGAACATGCCTAGCAAGTGTGAGGCTCTGGGTTTGATCCCCAGCACACAAAAATAAAATAAAACAAAATGTGTTCATTATCCTGTTCTTTTTCATTGCTTTTATGGTGGCCAATGAAAGGGTTGACTTATTTTGAATAAAAAGATTTTCTAAAATTACTTTTAAAGGCACATGCAGTCAGGTTGGGCAGGAGGTGAAGTGTATGTCCATAAAACATGACTACTTAACAGAATGCCATGTCCTTCCCCAGACCCCAATCAACTCAGCTTCATAACCAGTCCCTTCTCGCTCCTGTCCTCCACAGCGAGGGCCCCTCCCATATGACCCCAAGACTCTGCCTCCTTCTAGCCAGCATGACACTGGGGCAAGACTAGCCACAGCTCTCCCCCTCTCTTCTGTCACTTCAGCCTTGATACAAAGCTGTGGACTGAGTTTGTGCTGACCATACAAACTCTCTGGAACCTCTTTAGTTCCCTCCCCAAAATACTGAGTTTGGCTTATGGTTGGCAGCCTTTGGTACCCTGCCCCTTCCTTCACCTGCCCTTCTCACTCACTTGCTAATCTTCGTTCCAAGTTAAAGGATTATCATGAGGTTGAAAAAGCCAAGGTTTTTTCTCCATCATATTTTACTCCCCTAAGGACATGTCTTTGAGTCTAGATTGGCCCATGCAAAAAAGTCTGGCTGGCAGTTTTACTGGCTTTCTTTCAACAAGGAGAGTGAAAATGCTGGTTGCCAAGCAACACATATGCCATGACTTCTTCCAACAATGTGAGGTTCAAAAAAAATAGCAAGAAACATTTGTCTATATCATCATATCATGAGCGGGAATCCTGTGGGACAGGCAGGGCAAGCAGGTTGATACAACAACATAATATCTTTTCATTCCAACTTTGGTGTCTTTCCCTGGAGACTCACCTGGAGAGACAGAGGAGCAGGCCTTCAGCTCGCTACAACTGATGGACAGACTTATCATGAAGAACCCCGTAGTATAGTCAGTCACCACCATTTGTAGATTCCATAGTTGTAAATTTTCCTACTTGATAAAATTTCTTTCTAATTTTTTAGTTAGCTTTTTCACTGCTGTGACTAAAAGGGCCAACCAGAACAATTGTAGAGGAAAGATTTATTTGAGGGCTCACAGTTTCAGAGGTCTCAGTCCATAGAAGCCCAGCACCATTCCTCGGAGCTCCAGGAGAGGCTGACCATCATGGCAGAAAAGTGTGGCAGAGGAAAGCAGCTCACATGATGATCAGAAAGCAGGGATAGGGGTCTCCACTTGCCAGATACAAATATATACCCCAAAGCCACAGCCCCAATTCCCACCTCCTCCAGCCACACCCTACCACTTCAGTTACCACTCAGTTAATCCCTATCAGGGGATTAATTCACTTATTTTGTTAAGATCCTTATAACCTAATCATTTCTCCTCTGAACCTTCTTACATTGTCTCACACGTGAGCTTTTGGGGGACACCTCATATCCAAACCATAACAGTAATCCCTGAACAATACTCAACACACTTCAGAATCATTTCAGGACTTACAGAGTGGTGGAGACTTTGAGTCTCCAACCCATATGTTCCCCATTGAAATGGCACAAGGTGCTACTCTGCCTTCTTGTGTCTGCTCTTCTATTTATAAACAAATGTGCTTTCAAGTTGATGTACTGCTACGTGGTTTTTGTTTTGTTTTGCATTTTTGTGTTTTTGTTGGTGATTTCACTGTTTTAAATGATCCCGTGCATGGTGCTAACGTGTTGTCTAATGTAACAAAGGGCACGAAGGCTGTGATGTGCCTTGTGGAGAAAACACACATGTTAAATAAGCTTCACTCAGGCCTGAGTTACAGTGCTGTTGACTGCAAGTTCAATATTAATGAATCAATACAATAGTACATTCAGAAAAAGGAAGAGGAAATTCCCTGATCTATATGTAAGGCCATTCCAGAAAGTACTAAGCTAATATCCGTAGTACATAATGAAGCTATAGAAATGATTTTTAAAAGTAACTGAATTTGTAGATTCATGAGATGATGAACAGTTAAGGGAAAAAAAAAATCTGTAGCACAGAGTATTGTTGTGAGGCCAAAAGCCAAAGAAATTTATGGTCATATTACGCTGGTTCAGGAAATTATTGAACCCTTCTTGGTTAGTGTTTATTATAAAGCAATACTGCATATGTTTTAGTACTTATAAGGAATAGGTATTAAATAAGTTATCTTTCAACAGAAATACATATAAAACAAGGTTGTGTAATGCCAGTTGATGAAACTGTTGTGATAGGATCCTCACCAGAGGCTCACTAAACCATGCATTTCCCCCAAAAGTCATGGACAAGTATTCACTAATTCAGCACTCACAGGTATTTTATAGAACCTATATGATCACAACTATCTCAAATGGAACCCATCTTCTGCATCCCATATTGAAGACAAGGCCCAGGTGCACTGTCTTTGCCATGATAAGACTCAACCTTCCCACTGAACGGCTATGTCCACGACACGTTCTTCCTGGACGTGAAGGGAGTTAAATGTATGCAGCTAGTCCCTGGTGCCCCCCCCACACACACCTCCCTTATTGCTCCTTCCACCACTTCTGTCACTGGTTATTTTGCAAAAGGGAAGCCCTGGTATATTTATAAACTGTCCTGGTACTGAGCCATTGTGAGCTCAGCATCCCTGAACAGACACCTTAATTGGTCTCAGATGGGAAGGAAAAACTATCACACCACAGTCTCTCCTCCCTGAAGCTGGATTCAGGTCACGTGTGAAATGGCCCCTTGTCTGTTGACAGTGGCCTGCATCTCCCACAGTCTGCTGAACTGGACATTCCCTCCCCAGGGGGTTCTGATGTGCAGATGAACTCCTCTCATCTGGTATACAAACACATCGCAGAGATATGAACATAGGGCATGGGAAACACAGAGGCGGCCTCAGCCTTCAGGGGAGGGGATGCTCCAGAGATGAAATGACACTTGGCAAATGCTGCTGATGAAGTAAGCAGAGGCCTTTTAAAAGCAAGACAGAAAAAATGGTAGAACAAGTATAGGAATGGAAAAAAACAAACAAACTTGAGACATTCCTTTAGGACAATTCTTAAAGTGTCCAGAAACACAATCGGTAAACCTCATTATCACCACTCTGGACACTCTGGTCCCACACAGCAACTGAAAAGTTCCCAGAGGAGGCCTTTCTAGAAAGTTCTTTCAATTGCTGAGCAAGTGAGTATTTGGGCTTGTGTCTGTGTTTCTCCACTTATCAGGAATACAAATACTTTTTTCCTTCCGTGCTACTAGATGCAAATATGAGAATTAAGAGACACTGAGGATAAAGTGGTTCCAACTCCTTGTAAGACATTTTGCATGCATTATAAACACATAGATCTTCAATACAAGTTCTCAGCAGGGAACTGCTTTTTGTTACAGAGATTGCCTGTGTGCACAAACTTGCAGAGAAAGGCAGTGTATGCAGATAGCACGCTGAGTCACTGGTCACAAAGTCATTTTCTCCTGATCCCTCTTCCCATTTCTATTCCCAGGCCTCATTATGTGCAATGTCATATGCACACAGACACACAGGAACACCCCATCACAGCCAGGACAGAAGTGCCCAGGGAGGTGTTTGCATGAATTTCATCTTTGGAGTAAGAAGCACTTGCTCAGCTGCCAACCACAAATAGCCCCATGCTCCCATGCTGTAAAATGATGCTAATTGGTGTGCCATTAAAAAAAAAAAGGAAGAAAAAAATACCAACCACAACAAAATAACCATGTACAGACCTAAAGTCCTACCCTGACAGTCAATGTGAAGCATGGCCCACTAATGCAGCCCTAATTCACTTTGTTTGGCAGAGAGAGCAAGCTCACCATGCTGCTTCGGGAGTCTCTGGGGAACATGAACTGTCGCACCACCATGATCGCTCACATCTCTGCTGCAGCTGGGAACTATGCAGAAACCCTGTCTACCATCCAGATTGCATCAAGGGTCTTGAGGATGAAGAAGAAAAAGACGAAGGTAAGCAGTTCCCAGTGGGTGCAGTGGGTAACGGAGTTTTGGAGCCTTGCCCCAGAACTGAGTCAGAGAGAGAGTCAAATCAATATTGCTGATCCCCAAACACAGGGGTGCATGTGAAAGCATCACTGCTGTGGTCCCCACCTGGGGACAGGGAAACCTTCCCACTGACAGGAGAGAGTCAGGTCTTTTGCTGGCCCTGGACATCCAGCTTGACCCCTGACAGGTAGTGCTTGGCATGCTTTAGATAGATTTTGAGATGAAAAATGTTGGAGAGATGGAAATTATTCAGTTTTTCTCTTGCCTGACTGGCTCCTATGTAGATGAAGACTGTGTCCTTCAATGAGTCAACTCTAAAGAGGGTTATTAACTTTTTGCTCATGTGGCCCTATTGCCCACCCCCATGTTCAGGAGTGATTTCCTGGCTACTGGAATTGTCGTGTTAATTCAATGTTTTCTGTTTGATACCGAGTCTGCTAGATGCCACTGGGCTCCTTTCCTCTGGCAGAAGCAAACCCTGGACAGTGGCAGCTTGGCAAGAATGCCTGAGAGGACCATGGTGGTTGTGGCCACTCAGATCGGGGGGGCCAGTGATTAACATGTGGGAGGGCTTTTCTTTCCTTCTCCTTTATGTATTTTTTAATGGGGGGATGGAGTATAAAACAGGGTTTCCCAACCAATGTTCTGTTGGTTGTATTCAGGAATAGCCCTTATGTGGTCAGAAGGGGACTGGATCTCCTCTCCTGAGCAGCCTCTGATTCGTCAGTGGGCCATATAGGGATTATCTTAAGCACATAAAGCTATGATGTGGAACATTGGGCACTCTGGCCTGGCCCACTGGAGTCATGGTTCCACTCTTCAATGCGGGAAGTCAACCCGGGGGACCTTCTGTAGCTCCTGTTGAGTCAGTGGCTTCTACCATTTACCACATAATGTCAGGCTCCGTGGGAGGGCTGTCTCAGAGGCGCCACATGTTAACTGTTCTCTCACTCATAGTACACGTCGAGCTCCTCTGGTGGAGAAAGCTCCTGTGAGGAAGGCAGAATGCGCAGGCCCACCCAGCTGAGACCCTTCCATACCAGAGCCACGGTGGACCCCGACTTCCCCATTGCGCACCTGTCCAGTGATCCTGACTACTCCTCCAGCAGCGAGCAGTCTTGTGACACTGTCATTTACATCGGGCCTAATGGCACAGCCCTCTCCGACAAGGAGCTCACCGACAATGAGGGCCCCCCAGACTTTGTTCCCATTGTGCCTGCCCTGCAGAAGACCAGAGGTGACAGCCGGCCCACAGAGGCAGGAGAGGCTGCAGCCAGCAAATCAGAAAGGGACTGCTTGAAGTGTAACACATTTGCTGAGCTGCAAGAGAGACTAGACTGCATTGATGGCAGCGAGGAGCCCAGTAAGTTTCCTTTCGAAGAGCTGCCTGTACAGTTTGGGGCAGAGCAAGCGAGTAAATGCCCCTCGTTAAGCCAAGTGGCTGGGGCAAACTCACTTTCTGAGTCCGATAAGGAAGACAACGGGTCAGATGGCCAGCTGACTGATCGGGAAGGCACAGACAACCTGGCCTGTAAGATGCAAAGGAATCACTCCCCTGTGCCTGCCACAGCACGCAGCAGCAGCCCCACCCCAGCCTCACCCCGAAGCATCCCAGGCAGCAGCAGCCAGATGGTGCAGAGCCCCAGCCTCCAGAGCAGCCGGGAGAGCCTGAACTCCTGTGGCTTCGTGGAGGGCAAGCCCAGGCCCATGGGCTCCCCCCGGCTGGGCATTGCCAGCCTGTCCAAGACCTCTGAGTACAAACCCCCCAGCTCTCCTTCCCAGAGATGCAAAGTCTACACCCAGAAGGGGGTCCTTCCAACTTCTGCCCCACTGCCACCCTTGAGCAAGGATTCTGGCATGGTCTCTAGCGAGTCCCTGCTGCAGCCTGAGGTACGTACCCCTCCAGTTGGAATGAGCCCCCAGGTTTTGAAGAAATCTATGTCTGCTGGAAGTGAGGGGTTCCCAGAAACCCCTGTTGAGGATGAGCATCAGGCAGCATCTCCCCCAGACTCCAAGAAGGAGATCCTGAGCACCACAATGGTGACCGTGCAGCAGCCATTGGAGCTGAACGGGGAGGACGAGCTGGTGTTCACGCTGGTGGAGGAGCTGACCATCAGTGGGGTCCTGGACAGTGGCCGCCCCACCAGCATCATCAGCTTCAATAGCGACTGCTCTGTGCAGGCCTTAGCCTCAGGCTCCCGGCCTGTCAGCATCATCAGCAGCATCAGCGAGGATCTGGAGGGCTACTCCAGCATGGCTCCTGTCTCTGAGGTGAGCATCACACAGTTCTTGCCCCTTCCAAAGCTGAACCTGGATGGGAAGCCCCGGGAAACAGGCAGCAGGCGTTCCTCCATCAGCTCCTGGCTTAGCGAGATGAGTGCAGGAAGTGACGGAGAGCAATCATGTCACAGTTTCATAGCCCAGACATGTTTTGGGCATGGGGAGGCCATGGCAGAACCTCCAGCCTCGGAGTTTGTTAGCAGCATCCAGAACACTGCTGTGGTGTGCAGAGAGAAGCCCAAGGCAGGCTCTGATAACCTGCTCATCTTGTCTGAGGTCGGGGAAGACTCTTTCAACAAAGCCACCCCCATCAAAAGCTGCAAAATATCCACACTGGGCAAGGCCATGGTCACCATCTCCAATACAACCAACCTGAGCAATTGCGAAGGGTACATCCCCATGAAGACCAACATCACAGTTTACCCCTGCATTGCCATGAGCCCTCGGAACGTACAAGAGCCTGAGGCTTCTACTGCCATCTCCAAAACAGCTGCCAGAGCAGCCTCGTCCCAGGAGAGTAAAGAAACCAGTGCAAAGAAAGAGATGAAATTTGAGGACCCCTGGCTAAAACGAGAAGAGGAAGTGAAAAAAGAGAATGCTTTTCCCAGTGAAGAAGGGATTAGGTATGAGACTGCCACAGGCCCTACTAAGCCTGAGACCAGACCAGAGCAAGAACAGGACAGGAAGCCCAGCCCGGGCGACAGGCTCAGCAGCAGCAGTGGAGAGGTATCTGCCTCCCCAGTGACTGACAACTTCAAGAGGGTTGTGGATGGCTGTGAAATGGCTCTGCCTGGTTTGGTGGCCCAGAGCCCAATGCATTCCAGCAAAAGCCTGAAATCTAGCAGCCTTCCTAGAGCATTTCAGAAAGCCAGCAGACACGAGGAGCTGGACAGCCTCTTCTACCACTGCAGTGCCGACACCAATGGCCTGGGGACAGCATCAGGTACCCAGGCCTCTAAGGCAACCCTGGAGCGCAAGGTGGCTTCACCCAAGCATTGTGTCCTTGCCCGGCCTAAAGGGACTCCCCCTCTGCCCCCTGTCCGCAAGTCCAGCTTGGACCAGAAGAACCGGGCCAGCCCCCAGCACAGTGCCAGCAGCAGCAGCACCAGCAGCCCCTTGAACCAGCCAGCTACCTTCTTGGCCAGCTTCCCTGATGAGCCCAGCAGCAAGGTGAAGGACGCCAGTAGCAGCAGCAAGCTCTTCAGCGCCAAGCTGGAGCAGCTGGCCAGCAGGACCAACTCTCTTGGCAGAACAACAGTCAGCCACTACGAATGCTTGTCGCTGGAGAGGGCCGAGAGCCTGTCCTCCATGAGCTCGCGACTGCACGCTGGCAAAGACAGCACCATGCCCCGAGCTGGCAGGAGCCTGGGCCGCAGCAGCGCAGGGGCCTCACCACCCGGCTGCAGCGCCACCCCGTCAGCAGGGGCGTCGCCCAAGGCCAGCCAGTCCAAGATTTCAGCCGTGAGCAAGCTCCTCCTGGCCAGCCCCAAAGCCCGCAGCCTGTCCACCCCCACCACCAAAACCCTCAGCTTCTCCACCAAGTCGCTGCCTCAGTCAGTGGGCCAGAGCTCCAACGTGCCCCCCAGCGGGAAGCACATGTCCTGGTCCACCCAGTCGCTCAGCAGGAACCGAAGCTCTGGATTGGCTTCCAAACTGCCGCTGAGAGCAGTCAATGGGCGCATCTCCGAGCTGCTGCAGGGGAACGGGGGTGCCCGGGGTTTGCAGGTGCGGGCTGGACCCGAGGCGGAGGAGCGCAGTGGGGCCCCCGCGGAGGACAAGCCTGCAGCAGCGCACCTGCTGCCCTCGCCCTACAGCAAGATCACCCCACCGCGGAAGCCACACCGGTGCAGCAGCGGGCATGGCAGCGACAACAGCAGCGTGCTGAGCGGGGAGCTCCCGCCGGCCATGGGGAAGACTGCCCTCTTCTACCACAGTGGTGGCAGCAGCGGCTATGAGAGCATGATGAGGGACAGCGAGGCCACCGGCAGCGCGTCCTCGGCCCAGGACTCCATGAGCGAGAACAGCAGCTCTGTGGGCGGCAGGTGTCGGAGCCTGAAAACCCCAAAGAAACGGTCCAATTCAGGTAGGCACTTGGGGACAGGGTCCCAGGGAGGTAAAGGGCAGGTGTGTATGGGGTCCACTGCTCCCCTGTCCTCTGATGAGGGGACCTCCAGGATCTGGGGATTGAGGTCTCATCTCTCCTTTCTGATATCCTGTCACTTGTAGGTCTTGGCTAGGGATAGAACCGCAGAAGGCTTCATTGTAAAAACTTGTTGTTATGTGCATCATTAGACCTTGAGGATGCCTCGGGCCCTCACTCTCAGCAGGGGGAAAGGCCAGGGTGCTGGATGCCCAGGAGCATCCATGAATCACCGGCTCTTCCTCCGTAGCATCTCCTTACCTGGTCCCTGAGCCATGGCTTTATTTGCTCAAGCACTGTACTACTTTTTAGAGGTCTCTGAGAGATCAGATCAGGTTCCCTGACCTCAGGACTACAGAAACCTGTATGTGGGACTGATGGTCTCCAAGACCTTGGCAGCCTCTCTCAGGGATGGAGCATACTTTGATTCATTGAAGGTGCGGTAGGAGAAGCCTTCCTCTACTCCCACCCCAAAGACAGTCATAGACAGTCAGGTATGGACTCCAGCCGAAGGGGTTGCACTTCTTCTGTTCACACACACAGTGCCACACCGTATATTCCCACTCATGCACTACCACCACTGTGGTGGGAGGGAGTCTTTGCCATCTCCAGGAATCTGTTGTCCAAAGGCACATACTCCAGAACTCAGGAAAACCACTGACATGTTTGTCTGAGTTTAGTGACATGTAACAGTAAGTTCTGATGGGCAAGGAGAAGAGAACTGACGTACACACAGGGTAGGTGAGGTGAAAGACGGGAAGGAGAGAAGGAAGCAGGGAGACAGAAGCAAAAGGTACCAGGAATAACGAGATACTTGAGAATTTTGCCTGGAATCATTTCTATTCTTCAATGACTTCTAAAGAAATCGCCCTCATTCATTCTTTAGCCTCAGCATTCAAATAAAAAAAGAATAATGGCAAGCCCCAAATGCAATGCAATTCTGTGCCTTGGTTGAAGTGCAGGTGGCAAGGGGCCTGTCCTCCGCCACCCCTTCCCCTTCTGTGGAATTCTAGGCTCTTCAGAAGCCACTGCTTTGCAGAATATGGGTGTCAACAGCCTATTTGGGATTAAAAGATGGGGTGATGTCCAGAAAGGGGGTCCTTTTTCTACGGTGCCAGCTGAATCTGCAGCACCTGCTCCACAGACTTTTTCTATCAGTCATGACATTGCTTTTCCCTATTCCACCACCAGTGAGTTCCAGCTCTGGAATGTTCCAATCCAGATATAAGGACTCTGATCAGAGCACATCATAACCCTTTGTCTTCCTCAAATCAAAGAAATGGCCTTAAGGGATCATGCATTCATGCAGTTTTACATCCCCAGATGCCCCACCAGCCCACCCCACCCCATCACAACTCACAGAACATGGCTGTGAGGATGTTACATTCTAAGCATGTTTGGAAAACTTCATGGCTGTCAGCACCGTGACGTCTTTATTTCCCAATGGTGTGTGTTTCAGCATCTGATGCACTTGGTCTGTGCTCTGCTTCACCCACCTCAGTCTCAGCAGCAGACTTTGGAGCAGAACCCCCTATAAGACAAGTTGGAAGTGACAAGCTACTCAGTAAAACAAAACAGCTGCTTTGTCCTATCATCAGGGCCAAGGGCATTACAATGTGTTGGTATTAGTCACTAAACATAACAAAGTTTATCTATGCCACTATCTTTTTTTTAATATTTATTTTTCAATTGTAGTTGGACACGATACCTTTATTTTACTTATTTGTTTTTATGTAGTGCTGAGGATTGAACCCAGGGCCTCGCACGTGCTAGGCGAGCGCTCTACCACTGAGCCACAACCCTAGCCCTATGCCACTATCTTTGTGGGGAAGAAATATCTGCTTGCCCCCCAGTACTTGACTGACAAATCCTGTTATTTCAACCTACCCAGTGTTGATCTTCAAATCCAGACGATTGTGTGACATTTGCTATGTGGTCATCTGTGTTTTAGTGTTAGAGAGTGCTTTCATTAGTTCTCTCTAATTAAGCACCTTGAATTAATTGTTCTTTCACTGCTTTTTATTCTCTTTCAAGACTTTAATTTATTGGTTTGCCTGTTATAGTGGAACAAAGAGGAGGAAAAAGATGTGAAAGAAACAAATGTGTACAATAGCTCCTTGGAGAGTGGCCACAGGTTCTGCACATGACCTTGCTCAGGGCTGAGTCCTTTCACAGGCGCTGTCCTTTGAGGGTCTCTTTTTAGGAAGGCCTTTAGAGGAAATAATATGAAATTAAAATGCGATGGTAGGTGCTAGAGATAGGATTTCATATGGAGTGCCCAGAGCATCAGACCTTTGTGATCTGCTGCCACAGATCCGGGGCTCCATGATGGATTTGGTGGTGAAGTGAAGCTCGTTTCAGGTTAGGTGACCTTGTCTCACTTGTTTATGATTATTATTAAGAGAAATGCTGGCTGTCAGGTGTGATAAGCATCCATCAAAAACCACTTCTTTAGGAGAAACCATAAAACCCCTCAAAGGAAAATCCTAAGTAGATGGCAGTTGTCTTTTATTTGAGATGGCTTTTGAATTTGGAAAATTGTAATGCTTTGGTCATTTGCTTAACAAAAAGGAACTAGAATTTTATCATTGGGTAAATAACGGTGAGCACTCTGATTTCCTTGTGATGCATATAACAATAGAAACCATCAAATATCACCACAGTTCATTATTCCAGCCTCATTCTTAGAGACCCATGTTATTAGTGAAGAGTGAACATAATCAGGCTTATTCTTGTGGTCTTTGTGTGGAATGGTGCAGTGAGAAGATTAATCCAGAAAGCAGAAGACATGGGATCTTGAGTTGTGTGATCTCTCAGAAATAATTAGCCACTCTGGGCTTCAGTTTTCTCATGTACAAGTAAGGGATTTGGTAGATAATAGCCATGGTCTGCCTGCTGCCCACATCATAAGAGACTATGTCAATTAATACAAAGAATATTGATGGCAATATGACATCCTTTTCATAAGGCAACCCATTGTCAGTGAGCTTTATTTTTTATTTTATTTATATCTAATAGTTTCCCATTACTGTAACAAAATACCCAAGGCAATCAACTTAAAAAGAGCAAAGGTATACTTTTTATTGTGGTTTCAGAGATTCTGGTCCCTGATCAGACAGGCCTGTTGCTTTGGGCAACACAGCATAGTGAGGAGTGTGTGGTGAAGCAAAGTCACCTCATGGTGGCCAAGAAACAAAAAAAAAAAAAAAAGAAGAGAGAGAGAGTGGATTCTCATTACCCCCTTCAAGGGCATATCCCGGTGACCCAAGACCTCCTACTAGGCCCTGCCTCCTGAAGTTTCCACCACCTCCCAGTCATGCCACGGGCTGGGGACCAAGCCCATAACATATGGGCTTTAGGGTTATACCCAAAATTACACCACAGCACTTGTTAAGCATTCATCAGGCATGCACTCCTAGAGTTTAGTGATACAGAAGGTTCCAGTGAGGGAGGAGTGTCAGCAACATAAATTACAAGGTGACTGTAAGGTGTCTGTAATTTAATTAGAGAGAAAGGAAGAAAAGCATGAAATAGAGAACGGCAGGGGGGCGGGGACTGAGGGCTGCCCTGTGTGATTGGAGAGTACAGACATGAGCGTATCAGGTATTTTAGGTAAAGGCAGGACTCTGTGAGTCAGAGCAATGGTAGAAGGCTGCAGGGAAATACCAGGCCGGGGCCTGGTCTTGAAGGATCCTGATATTTTCACAGGCAGAAAGGGGTGGAAGACACTGGAGGCTGAGGGAGTAATGGGAACTCAAGCTCCGAACTGCAAGACCACGATCAAGAGGAGCCTATTCTTATTGAGAGACTACAAAATGCAATCCCAGATTAAGTTACTCATTGACCATCCAGGAACTGAATAAAAGTGCCCACTATCTTATACTCTATATCAGTCTCTAAAACTAGAATAAGATTATATATTATTGTAGTTGGCAGTGGGGAGTCACTACAGGTTACTTTAAGGGATGGATTTTTCATTCATCCTCACACAGTTCCTAGCCAGCCCCTCTGTGGTCAGTGCCGTGAAATTGTATATAGCCTAGGGCTATGAATTAGAGTAATGTCAGCCAGCCCAAGAGGGGATCCCATGTCTGTCCCAGACAGAAGGCATGTAATTTTCGGAGGGTCTATCAGTCTATCAGTGGGTGACTTATGACAGATACCAAGGTAGCAACGGTCAAGTCCCTATCCTAACACTACCACCTCCCTCTCGAGTCTCACCTCAATCATCACCCAGAGCCTCTTTATCTTCTTCCCATGGTCCTTCATTCCACCCTGCCCTCTTGGCTTCTTTCCCTGAGCTGGAGAGGAAAGGCCAAGAATTAGATGAGCATCTTGGCCTGAATGAATCTCATACCTACTGCAGGGAGCCTAGGCCTGCTGCGATCCAGCATCCAGAAAGCTCCAGGGTGAGATAGGGTCTGCCCACAGAGAAGCAACCCCAGGAAAGCCTGCTTGTTCTGAGGCACACGGAGGCCTTGACCTGATGGGACATGAGCTTCTACACGTCCTGTTTGCCCCTGCCTCAGCCTGCCTGAAACTCAGCCCTGAGCAGGTGCAGGTTACCATTGAATACCACTGATTGATGCATCTGTTGGTTGGTTGGCAGCATATCCCTAAAATTCAGCTCATATTTCTTTTCTATGTATTTTTCTTATCTTGTTCTGTTGGTGATAAGTGCTTGAAATGTTGAGTCTAGTCTCCTATTTCCTTTGTCAAAAAAGCACCAATCACATGTCTTCCCTTCTCTTGGTGTCGGATAAACATTACGAACTGATGGGCCCATCTTGTGGGTTGTGATTTGCCACCTGTAGTGAATTGAGCTCCAGGGATACCAGGTTCAGTTCACAGAGCGCTACACAAGTATCTGTGACTAATCGCCCCTCGCCAGTGCCTGAGAGCACCGCGGTTTGCTCTGCTTCTCATTTGGTTCTCAAGTGCGT